CTCATACTTCTCAATGTTGTCCAAAGCTTGTCATGATCCACACAATCGAAAGCCTTTGTGTAGTCAATAAAGCATAGATAAACATCTTTCTATGCTTTAGACTCTAGGCTTCACAAATCCACTGTGACCCAGAAGTATTGAGAAGCTAGATTTGAGGTTTTAGTATAGACAAGCTGTAGGTAAGCTGTTAACTTGAACATCACAATACAGAATGGATTCTTCTGGTGTTCACTCAATCACAGCAACATGGTACTTACTGCTCTTCTATCCTTGCTTAGAAAAGCTCAAAGAAAATGTAGCACGATTATATAGTCAGGATTTCTTATGTGGTTAAATGAGGATTTAACAACATAAGCAGGTATGCTGCAATAAGAACTTAAAAGGGCAAAACATAATTTTCATAATGTTTCTCTGTCATTTTTAAGTTTACAGAGTTCTCATACAATTACCTATGTGAAAATGATTTCTAAGGTGTACAATAGTTTATATTATCTTTTATGAATATGATAATCAATTAGAAGATTGAAACTTACCTCATGTCTGGTGAAAAGTCCACTTGACAAGCATAGCCTGCTACCATATGTCCTTTAAAAATTTTTTTCTTATTTAATCTAAATCTGTTCTGTGCCCCAAAAATTAATATTTGGTTGTCCATTGATTGGCAGGCTAGCCACTTCCCTGTAAATTCAATAAATAAGACATTTTAGAGACCTATGTAAGAATGTAAAGGCTTAATTTTATTTTAAATACATTTGCTGCCTTTAATATTCTTTTGCTCTCAATTACTTTGTAATTAATAGAAAATAAACTTACCATGACACCTGTCTTATTGGTATGAGATGGTTATATTAAAACATAATTCATCTTACTCAGTCAATATAATTAGCATTTTCTGTATAAAAGCTTTAAAAAATACAAAATTCCAAGTTTAATCTAAAATTTTATGAAAGGAAATTATTTTGTTAGAAGTACAGGCAGTTTCCAGGTTATGACAGAGATACATTCCTAAATGTGTCTTTAAGAATGTGTAGGTCAGTTGGACCAGGTGTACAAGGGTCTTATTTAGCCTTTTAGTGTTAAGATAAGGCTCGAAGCATGTGCAGCAAGTGAAGGTGATTGTGAAGAATATGTTGCTGGCAGGGAGCAGAGCAGTCTGGGTGAAAATCAGTGAGCAAATTTACATAACATCAAAGCAGGCATCAAAGATGGCATCATCCTGCTCAAAGATGGTGGCTGAACTGCTGCTTTGAATGCTCCACAGTGCTGCCAATAATCCAGTCTTCCACACCAGGCAAGTGAAAGGGCTCACTATGACTTTTATAAGTCTCACTCCAAGGCCTCAACCTGTAATTTTTCCTGTTTCAGTAAATGTGACAAAAACCACCCAAATATAAAAATTCTGATTTGTTCCTATTTCACATATCAGTTATGACAGAACCAATTCAAAGACTTCATTACAGGGCAAGTAGTCTGGGGAGCATGGTAGCTTCATAGGATAGTACTGGACTGTGAACCACAAGGTCGACGATTTGAGCCCACCAGTCACTCTGTAGGAGAAAGATAAGGCTTTCTGCTTCCATAAAGATTTACAGCTTCAGACACCCTACACTGTTGTTAAGTGTTGTCAAGTTGGTTCTGACTCATAGTGAGCTTATATAGGATTTCTGAGAAGCAGCTGGTGGGCTCAAACCATTGACCTTGTGGTTCGCAGTCCAGTGTGGCTCCTCCAGTGCCATATGGGGTCACGATAAGTTGGAACTGACTGGATGGCACTTAACAACAGGAGTGGTCTACCAGCCAGACAGTCGGAACCCAGGGACCGCCTGTACAGACAACAGAACTATGGGAAGAAAGAGACCAGCATGTGTTAAGAATGGAAAAAGGAATGCTTAACTCTGGTAAGAAAATCTAGAATTATTCAATATGTTATAATCTATTTAAATGATTAAAAAGTTATGGTAATTTTTTTTAAAAGGCCATGTTGCTTTCACTTACCCAGGACTCACCAAGTCCCTAGAGTCTCAACTGCAGTATGCACTTGTGTATTTTACTAAGGGAATGATCCTACTGAGGCTTAGAGTCTGAGTGGGTGAGTATCCTTGTTCAACATGAGCGCAGTTTAAAAACACACCCCACAAAGTGGAGCTGCACCATGACACAGTATACAATTTAGCAATTACCAAAGTAAGAAAAGGTTAGGTTTTTCTTTCTCCATAAAAATCAAGGGCGTTTGACAACAATCATTAGTATTCCTGTGCCAGATGCCCTGATGGGAGAACTCATCCTTGCCTCCTCTCCCTTACTCTACACTCCAGTAGCTAAGTGAGTTAGCTGAGGCTTCGATGACAGTGCTTACCAAACATCAGACCCTCGCCTCCAGTTCAATACTCTATTTTAAGAGCAGTAAGTATAACAGTAGGAGCTCTGGTAGCGTAGTGGTTACGAATCGGGCTGCGAACCTTAAGGTCAGCGGTTTGAAACTACCAGCCGCTCCGCGGGAGAAAGATGAGGCTTTCTACTCCCGTAAAGATTTACACCCTCGGAAACCCTGTACAGGGTCGCTATGGGTCGGAACCGACTCGACGGCACTTAACAACAACAAAGTATAACAGTATATTGTCAATAATCTATAGCACAAATGACCTTATAATTAAAAGACAATGGATTATTGAGTGGGAACAGTATTAGATTTCTCTTTTAAATTTTTTTACTAAGAAAATTTATATAGTGAAATTATGGGTATTCTCATTACAGGAAATCAGACCTCAATTTCCCTTCTGCAGTATAAGTAAGTTGATGACTATGATTCTGTTGGAAGGAGAATTATAAAAAAAAAAACAGCCTGCTACTTGGCTGATGTAAGCTGTAAATCACTGTTTGTTTTATGTTTTTAAAAACAGGAGTGGGGAGAGTGACTAACATATTAAAACCAGTGATTATTTCTAATATCAAAAAGTACTTCCTTTTAAAAGTATGGCACTGTGACAGTACTTCCTTTTAAAAGTATGGCACTGTGACGGGAATGGCCAAAGTTCTTTTGAATACGGAAATTACACCCTGCTTTAGATACTCATTTGAAAACATATTCTATGTCCTAACTTACCATTTGGAGACAAAGTCACCGCAGGCATTGAGTGCATGCTGGGCTCTGCTATATACTTGAAATCCACAGGAATATCCCTAAAAGTGAAAAAATGACACATCAGAATCAGTAATGGTCAAAAGCACCTTTTAGAAGAACTCTTTCTGAAACAAAGGGATAATAGTCAAATAAAATCAAACTTCCAAAATCATGTTATTTAAAAAACCTTTCATAAAATTTCCTGGAAAAACAAAAAATCACAAAATGATTCTGTACTGCTTACTAGAAATCTTTTACTTCACAAATGTCTTTCTATAAAAAAATACAAGAGTGTTAGTGATCTCCTTTTCTAGGTCTATCTGATTTGAACTTTGGTCTTTATGTTTGTTTGTTTGTTTTCAAAGGTCCATTCCTAATGGTTCTTAACAATGAGCTCATCGAAATAAACATGGGTCATGTTAGGTAGCACTAAGCTGTCTGAGGCAAGCCGACAGGAGTCTTCTTAATTTACCTACCAGTCAACCTTCACTTGCCTTTACCTCGCAAATAGGTGGTTGTCCTGAAGAGAGCCAGAGGCTGGAAGACAAAGCTGTCCAGGATCTGCGAACTCATCTAGCCCATCCAGAAATAATGACCAAGGGCAGGAAGGTGGTGTGCTTGGCACCTGGACATCTCTTTTTCAGTTTGCATGTAAAGTATCCCAATGTGATTGTGCAGGAGAAAAACCATTTTTTCTCAAGTGAATGATACAAAGGATCAAACAAAAATAAAAACCAAAAGTTCATCACCAAAATATAGAATCACCCAAAGCTCTAAATATTTTTCCATCTTACTACTAATACTTAGTTTTAATATTTCCTTTTATACTTACTTCTAAGGATAAAAATTCTTTATAATTCTGAAAAGATTTTTTGTCTCATTGCTTTTAATAAGTGACTAGTGCGCTGTAATCTGATGAACAACACAGAAAATGAAGCAGGAATTTCAATTTCAAACTATAGTTTAAATTCCAATACTTTGATTAATTGGAAAATAATAATAATGATAATACTTTGCCTTTATATAAGGATTTTTCCCCGCCCTCTATCCATCCCTTCTAGAAGAAGGAACAAAATATAGAAAAAATTTCAGGTATAAAACGGGAACAAGGCCTCAGTGAGAACTGACATTCACAATGACCCAAATATATTCTGTCTCAACCTATAAAAAGTTCAACTGGTTTTCCTTCCTCACATTTATTAATGAGAATAATTTTATAACATGGATTAATAATATAGTGTGTTTCTAATTAACTATATTCTAGGTTCATATTAATCAATAGTTTCCTAAAAAACAAATTCTAATAAACTCCTGATCTCAAGGATGCTTGGTACAATCAGCTTTAGAATAAGAAATGAATCTAAACTATCCTGTGGACTTTATTGTTTCAAGCAAAAATGTCTGCTAGGCATAGTTATGTAAGCACAACATTATTTTCTACTTAGGAGACTAATTCTGTATACTAAGCTAGTAACTTATGCCTTGCGAATAATCTTCAGTTTGGAAATGAATTAATCGGCAAACTACCAGAAACCTATGGAATTTTAGGGATAAATACTAAACAATAGTATCAAGAACACAAAACACATATGTATCTGTTTATTCTAGAGACTACAGTGCAGTGATGTGAGGTGGTCCACAGTAGAATCAGGGCAGAATATCATTTCTGAATTAAAGCTCTTCATTCTAAGGTCACCTCAAAAGCACGGAGCTTGAGAAGGATGCTCTATGGTAAGACTACATACACAACAGTCAAGTCTCCATCAACTGCTGGATTTTATAGGGGTATAGTAGTTGTGGGAGTCCTGCTGTGGCGCTGTAGGATAAGCACCGCAAGGTTGGTGTTTCAAACTCAAGAGCAGCTCCACAGATATCCTATACAGGGTTGCTAGGAGTCGGAACTGACTTGACAGCACTTAACAATAACAGTAGTGGTGGGGAGCGTGGGAGAAACCATAATTAAGTTACATTAAGTCTTCAATTTCCCAAGTTGCCCTGATAATGGTTAGACATGTCACAGACCTGCTCAAATCCCTGAAGGGATTCAGGTTAAAGAGGAAGTACCAGTGGTGGTACAAGGTTTCCCGCTTCTTTTGAAAGCAAGACCGCTGGCAGGGGGGACACTCTTCCTAGACTCCACCAGGCTATAATCATGGTTGAACTGTGCTTCCCAACTGACTGTAAAAACAAACTGGGTTCTACCGAAACATTCATCTCAGCCAAAAAGATTACTGTGCATTTCACTGCAACTAAATTACAGAACACATGATCTATGATACTTAATGAAATAAGTGTTAATATTTTTTAGTCTTAGAAAAGTTTTTTTTCCCCCCCTCCCTTTAGGAAAACAAAATCAACATGTTCTGCTTATCTTCTACAAGTAAAACATGTGTTTTCTACCACTATGGGTTATGAAGGTTAGGTCACAGAGGTAATAATACGGAGCAATTTTCAGAATTGGATAAAGAAAATTGGAAAGATCAGCATTTTCGTTGGGTTGGTTCTGAGTCAGGGTCTTATGCTCAATGCCTAGAGTAACCAAGAGAGTTTATACATTTGTGTCCCCTACTTCTTCCAAGCATTTTGTAAAGATGTCTAAGTTACTGAATAAAAAATGCAAGCTAGGCAGTGCAATATAATACAAACCTATCACAACTGCAAGAAAAACAGCACAACTTTACATGTCCTTTGGATAAAACTATGCAAAGAATAAAGAAATACAAATCGAAATTTTAATTTCTGTATTATGGGTACTTGGTAAGTTAAAAAAGAGAAAGCCAGAGATCATAGTAAGAAAAATAGCCAAATGATGGCATAGTATCAGGCTTATCTTTGGCTACAAAATTTTTATGGCTTACTTAATATAAATAAATCAGACTGTCAACTGATGGAAACTCACCATTCCCAAACTCGTAGGCTCTTATCATCAGATGTGCTTACAAATCTCCTATTCTCATCAACAAAAACAATAGTGTTGACAGCTCCCAAATGCCGGTCGTATTCCTGCACAATTTCTCCACTTCGAATGTCCCACTGTGTAAAAAAGAGAAAAAGTAAAGACCAAACCAGAGTAGATTTATGAAAACTAGCAAAGATCATAACTGTAAAGTGGGGAGGAAAAAGATCACCCGTAGCATGTTGAAAAAAGACAAAACAAAAACAGTGATTATTTTCTACTTAAGAGATAACAGAGTAGCAATCACTAAAAGGTAACAAACATTAAAACAAGTTACTACTCCATATTGCATTTCCTGAAGCTCAGAAATTGGAAGAGGTTTTGTGACAAGGCTTACCTGCACAATCTTTTTATCAGACATCCCAGCCACAAACAGATTCTGCTTATCTTCATCAGGATTAAATTTGACACAGTATGGTACTTTTCGGTTTGTAAATCTTGATATACACTGTCCTACAACCAAAGACCCAATTGAAATAGGTAAAAATAAATTCAAGCACTAAAAGAGGATCCTGAAGTTAAGATCTAGAGATCATTAGCATAATGCATTTCAAGAAAGGGAAGCCTGCTTGCTCTTTAGTGAGGTATACATTGTTCTTTTTCACAAATTTTCAAAAATTAAAATGAAAAAAATTTTGAAAGTAAACCTGTACCATCAACTGCCAACTAGATAAATTATAGTATAGCCCACTCATACAATGGACAATTATAAGCCACAAAAAAGAACAAACTACTGATATAAGCCACAGGTAGTATGTTGAGTGAAAGAAGTTAGAAACCAAAGCATACGAATAGTATGATTCCATATATAGGAAGTTCATGAATAGGCCAAATGAATCCATGACAACAGATATCAGGACAGAGGCTATGGGGAATGGCTAGAGGCCAGGAGAGGGCATAAGAAACATGCACACAGCATCAGAAATGTCTCACATATTGATCTTGGTGGTAGTTAAAATTACATAAGAATCTCAGGGGATAAAACCCAGGTAAATAATACTTAAAGCTCAGCAGGTAACTGCAACATACAGTCAGACTAGGGAATCACAACTAATGAGGGTTTTGCCATCAGAGGGACTTTGGTTTAAATCCCGATTGCCATTTATTGGCAATGTGGTCCTGAAAGTTTCCTCTGTAAGCCTCACCTTGCTTATCGATATATCATGTTTGAGGAGCCCTGGGAGCACAGTGGTGAAGCACTCCGCTGCCAACCAGAAGGCCGGTAGTCTAACTCACCAGCCTCTCCATAAGAGAAAGACCCAGCAGTCGGTTTCCGTAAAGAACTGTGGGGCGGTTCTCCTGTCCTGGAGGGCTGCTTTGCATTGGAGGCAGCACCACAGCACTGGGTTTTGTTTTTAAATGTAATGATAGTATTAAACTCACTTGTTGTTAAGTGCTGTTGAGTCAGCTCTGACTCACAGCAACCCTATAGAGGGTTTCTAAGGAGCAGATGATGAGTTTGAACTACCATCCTTGTGGTTCAAACTGACCTTGCAGTCCAGTGCTTTATTCCACAGTGCCACATCAGGATATTTTAAGGACTGAATGAGACACTGCTTGTAAGTACTTAGCACAGTGCTTAATAAACAATAAATGTTCAATATGTAGTAGCTATTATCACTACACTTAAAAACCAGTAAAATGAAAGAATGTTTTCTAATTATATCAGCCACAACAAACAGATGCAATTAGTGTGGCTGTGAACATATAAAGCCAGCTGGTCTATGGGGGATTAGCACTACATTTTAACTAATCCAAGCAATTAAATTTAATTCTGCTCATCAGACATTTATGGAGCCTTTTCTTTTTGTGTAATACATTGTGCCATGTCACATAAGGGAAGAAAAAGATCATTCAGATAGTTTATGGACAATTTCCATTTGCTTGTCTATCAACATGTTTGCTTTACAAATCATATTTTGATGGAAAGAAAGTTTCACAGTCTAAGAGCTACTTATAGAGCTGACCTGCAACTCAACAAACATTTTTTGATGCTAGCTGATGGTATGAGGAATGAACACTAGCAGTTCATTCTATCACAAAAGACCACTCACATGATTTCACTTACAAAGGCTAACTTATACAATAAGTATGCAACAGTATTAGCTGAAGTTCTTACCTGTCTCAGTGTCCCAAAGCTTCAGATACCTATCATAGGCTGCACTGAGGAACTGAGTCCCTGCAGTATTGAAGCAGATGTCTCTAACAGCTTTACTGTGACCTAAGGACAAAAATGACAGAAGTGAAGGTGAGGTAAAGTATCTTCTCTTAAAACATAAAATGACTGAAGGGAAACGGCATTAAACAGTAGCTGTCAAAAAAGCTGAGTCAAAACTCAATGGAACCGCATCTCCCGATTTACTGTACATATTTGAAGATATGGTGGTTTTCATTATTGTTGCTTTTTTCCTTTTAAGATTCTCCTCAGAAGATTCTTTGTTGTTATTGTTATCTGCCCTTGAGTCAGTTCCAACTCACAGTGACCCTATATAGGAGCAGCTGGTGGCTTGAACCACCAACCTTGTAGCAAGCAGCCCAGTGCTTATCCTACAGCACCACACCAGAACCAAGAGAAAAGGTTTTCCAAGAATTTATGGAAATAGGCCAGTTAGTGCTAATAAGGAAGTAACTACTGACATTTTGGTGGGTCACTGATTTGCTCACCAGACTGGAAATGAAAACAAAAAGATCTAAACCGGGAAGTTCAGGAAACTGTAACTCTTGTTCAATAATTTCTGGAACCACAGTTCCAAATCTTACAGACACTGATGCAGAATTTCAGAAACTAAGTCTGTTTGAGAATATTAGCTTCTACTTGTTTTAAGATGGAATTTTGACAATAATACATTAATTCCAAGGTGCTGGTTATGCTTTATTTAGAAATCATCTTGTTAGAACCAGCAACTCTTCTGAAAGCTACAGCGACAAATTAAATATGGCTAAATGGAAGCATTCTACCAAGTTCTTCAATCTGAAATTGATCAAACATGCAATCAAGATGTATGGATCATTACCGGTGATTGGAATGCAAAGGTTCGGAGCAAAGAGGGAAGAATGGGAGTTGGAAAATATGGCCTCGGTGATAGAAATGATGCTGGAGATCGCATGATAGAATTCTGCAAAATAAATGATTTGTTCCTTTCAAATACCTTCTTTAGACAGCATAACAGATGACTACTATACACATGGACCTCACCAGATGGAATACATAGAAATCAAATTGACTACATCTGCAAAAAGAGACAATGGAAAAGCTCCTTATCATCAGTGAAAACAAGACCAGGGGAAGACTGTGGAACAGATCATCAATTACTCACATGCAAATTCAAACTGAAGCTGAAGAAAATGAAGACAAGTCCACGACAACCAAAATATGACCCTGAATATATCCCACCTGAATTTAGAGATCATCTGAAGTACAGATTTGATACATCAAACACTAAAGACCAAAGACCAGAAGAGTTGTGGGATGACATCAAGAATATCATACAGGAAGAAATAAAAAAGTCATTAAGAAGACAAGAAAGAAGGAAAAGGTCAAAACGGATATTAGAAGAGACACTGAAACTTGCTCTCCAGCGTAGAGATGCTAAAGCAAATGGAAGAAATGAGGAGGTACAAGAGCTGAACAGAAAATTTCAAAGGTCAGCTCAAGAAGATAAAGCCAAATATTACAATAAAATGTGCAAAGATCTGGAGTCAGAAAACCAAAAAGGAAGAACATGCTCAGCATTTCTCAAGGTGGGGGAACTGAAGAAAAAATTCCAGCCTTGACTTTCATTATTGAAGGATTCTTTGGGCAAATTATTGAATGATGCAGAAGGATCAAAGGAAGATGGAAGGAATACACAGCATCACCGTACCAAAAGGAAATGGATAATGGTCAACTGTTTCAAGAGGTAGCATATGATCAAGAGCCAATGATACTGAAGGAAGAAGTTCAAGATGCATTGAAGGAAGTGGCAAAGAACAAGGCACCGGGAATTGATGGAATAAAAATTGAAATCTTTCAAGAAAGTGAAGCGGCACAGGAGGCACTCACTCATCGATGCCAAGAAATTTGGAAGACAACATTCTGGCCAACTGATTGGAAGAGATCCATATTTGTGCCTATTCCAAAGAGAGGTGACCCAACGGAATGTGGAAATCATCTGACAATCTCTTTGATATCCCACGTGAGTAAAGTTTTGCTGCAAGCATATGTTGACAGAGAACTTCTAGAGGTTCAAGTTGGATTCAGAAGAGGACGTGGAATGGGGGATATCATTGCTAATGTCTGATGGAACTTGGCTGAAAGCAGAGAATATCAGAAAGATGGTTACCTGTGCTTTATTGACTGTGCAAAGGCTTTTTATTGTGTGGATCATGACAAGCTATGGACAACATTGCTAAGTATACCAGAACACTACATTGTGCTCATGAGGAATCTGTATATGGAGCAAGAGGCAGTTGTTCAAACAGTACATGGGAACACTGAATAGTTTAAAATTAAGAAAGGTGTGTGCCAGGGTTGTATTCTTTCATCATACTTATTCAACCTATATGCTGAGCAAATAATCCAAGAAGTTAGATTATATGAAGAAAAACGTGGCATCAGGATTGGAGGAAGACTCATTAACAACCTGTGATATGCAGATGATACACCCTTGCTTGCTGAAAGTGAAGAAGACTTAAAATATTTACTGATGAAAATCAAAGAGCACAGCCTTTGGTATGGATTGCATCTCAATGTCAAGAAAACAAAAATCCTCACCACTGGACCAATAAACAGCATTCTGATCAGCGGAGAAAAGACTGAAGTTGTCAAGGACTTCATTCTTCTTGAATCAACCATCAACACTCATGGAAGCAGCAGTCAAGAAATCAAACGATGTATTGCATTAGGCAAGTCTGCTGCACAAGACCTTTTAAAAGTGTTGAAGAGCAAAGACATCAGCTTGAGGACTAAGGTGCGTCTGACCCAAGGCATGGTATTTTCAATAACCTCATATGCATGTGAAAGCTGGACAGTGAATAAGGAAGACCATAGAATTGATGCTTTTGAGTTATGGTGTTGGAGGAGAATATTGAAAGTGCCAGGGGTTGCCAAAAGAACCAACAAATCTGTTTTGGAAGATGTGCAACCAGAGTGCTCCTTGGAGGCCAGGATGGCCAAACTTTGTCTCTCATACTTCGGACATATTGTCAGGAGTGACTAGTCGCTGGAGAAGGATATCATGTTTGGTAAGGTGGAGGGTCAAAGAAAAAAGAAGAAGACCCCCAGCAAGATGGATTGGCAATGTTGCAGCATCAATTGGCTCAAGCGTGGTAACAATTGTGCAGTTGGCCCAGGATCAGGCAGAGTTATGGTCTGTTGTGCATAGGGTTGCTATGAGTCAGTACCAACTCAATGGCGCCTAAAAACAACAAATGGAAGCAGAGCCTTTCTTATTTTGAACACCCCACCATGACCGAGACTGCCATGTACAGTTGTATAAAAAATTCATGTAACAAAGTGTCAACCATATGCAGGCGACCTGAGCCACCATCAATAAACTGTAGTCAGACACCATATACCATAGCAGTTAGGCGTCCTTTACGTCAGCAAGAATCTCAGTCCCAGCTGCTTCCTAGGACACCACTGAAAAACAGTCTCCCAGTGCAGGGGAGACACAATGGGAGCACACCCACTGTATCTGAAGAGACGTTCTATTTATTCCCTTGAACTCATCTGACACCCTTCCCACAAGACTCCTTGTAGGTTGCTGCTAGCATAGCAGTATTCTGGGTAGTATTCCTTTATGCAGTAAGGTCCTAAAATCATACCAAAGCTAAAAACAGAGCCACTAAGGTTCATATAGTTTCGGTGTGATTCAGTTACATTTGGGAACAATAACTAGCCTTTAAAGGATTCTGACAAAGACAACAGACAAATCTCTAGCAAAAAGGCCGACTTGTCACAAGACTGCCCTCTTCTCTCCCTAAAGTGCATCCTTTTCTAGGTTTTAGCTGCTAATTTCCAACCTCTCTTCCAATCTTGACTTCTGGATATCTAACTGCTTGCTGGAGTTTGCCATCTCAGTGACCCGAAGGCAGCTCAAATTCCCTGAGCACAAACCCTCCTCATTCTGCTATGTTCTTTGTCTTGGTGACTAGACCATCATTCATCTAGCCAAGGAAGCATCAGTCTAGATTGCTGCCTGGCTCCTACCATTTATATCCAGGTTCTAAATTCCTTTGATTTTAAATTCTTCATCATTGTCTTCCTCTCCAGCTCTACTGTTTTGGTTCAGAGTGTGACCACTTCTAATCCAGTCCCATGAAGTAACCTGGTAATTCATTTCCCTGCTTCCAGGACTGTGTTACCAGTGTGGCCATTGTGATTTTCATTACCTACAACCTGATCATGTTGTTTTCCTGCTGTTACTGGCTACCTGCTGTCCTCAATAAAGAATCTCAATTCTTCATAATGGCACACGAGGTTCCCCAAGTACCTGTCTCCACGTTTATCTCTCACCAAACCCCAAACTCTGGCAATTCTAGAATCAACTCGTATTTGGTTCTCCCAAAGCAGCATGTTTCCTTCTACCACTTTTTTTTTTTATCCCTTTGCTTTTATTTTTGCTGCCCAGGCTTCTAGTTCCCCCTCTGTGACTACCTATGGGACCCTACTTCTCCTTCAAGACTCAGCTCAATTCTATGAAGATTTTCCTTCACGTCAGTATTGTAAAATTAGCATCAGTAATGCTATCTTAGTTAGAAAGAGTTTTCCCAAACACATTTATAGTCAGAGAGAAAAGAAAGATTACCAATAAATGTTCGCAGACAGCGTCGGTCTTCATAAACCTCCCAGAGCTAGCAGGAAAAATAGCATGTGAAATAATAAAATGAATACAAGTCTTTGGTAAAATGATAACTTTCAGTTAATAACAATAGTCATATGCTGATTGTGCACACGCATAGGGGATTTAACCAAAGGCATTATACGTCATTAAACATATTGCTTAGTGTTTTCAGTTTAAGTATTTATTTAGACTAGACACAAATATACATACACCAGGTATTAACACTCAAGTTTAAAATCTGACACTGAGATAAGCATCAAAATAAAACGAACTTAACTATAGGTGGAGGTAATACAGGTGATTTAAAAGAATTGTTCCTTTTCTGTATTTTATATATATTCTATGATGAAAAATGAGTCCTAGTGTGGTGCTCTGGGCTAATGCGTCAGACTGAAAAGTCATTTGAATCACAAGATCGGTGGTTCAAGCTCACCACCTGCTCCTTGGAAACCCTATACAGGGTCGCTATGGGTTGGAATCAACTTGATGGCACTTTACAACAACAAGTGCTACTTTTAAGGAGCCCTGGTAGCATAGGGGATTATGAGCTGGGCTGCTAACAGCAAGGTCAGCCCAGTAGCTCCATGGGAGAAAGAGGAGGCTTTATGCTCCCATAAAGGTTTACAGCCTTGGAAACCCTATATAGGGTTGCTATGAGTCAGAACCGACTGCATGCCACACCATCACCACCACGAGCTACTTTTAAAAGAATTATCAAAACTGCCAGGTATAACATTTTGATACTGAACGTTGTATTTTTCTCCCTAAAGTAACGAGTATCATAGTGTATGTACATGACGGTCTAGTCTGAAACACAGCCAGTTCATAAAGCTCCTTACATCTAGAGAAGAGTAATAAAACAACTTCCAAACTACTGTTAGTCTTGCCTGCCTCAAGTAAAACCTCCTGCGATGTTGCTTCTGCTCCATTACACAAAACATCCTAGCGTCAACAGAACTCTCTCAGTTCCCATAGTGTATTAGGCAAGGCATGGCCCTCTGTCGATAGACTCACTTATTGGGTCTCTAAGATTTTAGGCTCCAGCAACCAAAGAAGTGCTGGAGTTTTCAGTATCCACCCTGTTCTACTCTCTCCCCTATTCCTGTTATCTATTTAAAATCCTATTCATCCACAGAGTATTACCTCCCACTGAAGGCCCAGGTTAGGTAAACTGTGGGTTCTATAATAATTTATATCATAATGAAATGATCATCCCAAGGGCAGGAACAGTGTCCTAATAATTTTTTATATCCAGCCCCTTGCACATAATTGGTTCCTAATAAATATTCATAGACGTGAATTAAATTGGATTCTATTTTTTTATTAGTCAAAAAAGCTATATCCCTTTATGAATTTGACAAAGGATATTTGTACCTAGGTATTTACTTTTGCTGCAGACACCTATGAATGTGGTGGTGCATTGTTGTTGTTGTTGTTAAGTGCCGTGGAGTCGGTTCCGACTCATAGTGACCCTGCACAGGGTTTCCGAGGCTATAAATCTTTACGGGAGCAGAATGCCTCATCTTTCTCCCGCGGAACCGCTGGTAGTTTCGAACTGCTGACCTTGCAGTTCACAGCCCAATTCGTAACCACTACGCTACCAGAGCTCCTTGAATTTTTTTATTAGTCAAAAAAGCCGTATCCCTTTATGAATTTGACAAAGGATATTTGTACCTAGGTATTTACTTTTGCTGCAGACACCTACGAATGTGGTGGTACATACAAGGGACAAAATGAAGAAAATATCTTAGATATTACCAAACATCTTAAGCCAATTGCTGAGCCTGGGGTTGAAGACCATAGTCTTAAGGGACACCATAGTTAATTGGCATAACATAGTCCACAAAGACAATGTTTTACATCCTACTTTGGTGAATGGTGATTGGGATCGTAAAAGTTCACAAGAAGCCATCTAAAGTGTGAATACTGGTCTCTCCATGTACAGAAAAATGCTTGGATCTGAAGATGCTGGGATCAACTAGTCCAAAGGACCAACGGAGCAGGTGCACATCAGTCACTGCAACTCTGAGACCAGAAGAACTAGATGGTGCCTGACTACCACTGCCAAGTGCTCTGAACAGGATCACATTAGAAGGTCCCGGACAGAGTGGGATAAAATGTGGAACAAAACCCAAAATTGTATATATATAAAAAAGACTAAGCTTACTTGTCAGAAGGAGGCTGGAGAAACCCGAGACTACAGTCCTGAGCCATCCTTCAGGTCTTTTAACAGACCTCAACCTTGCAGTCCAATTTTCAGCTGCACCGTAGATTGGTATATAGGGGGGACAACAACACTAGTAAGTTATGTTCACGATGGAATGATCAACCACTGAAGACCAAAATGGCAACATTTACCTAAAGACAAAGTTCAGAAGGGTTGGGAAGGAATGTGAAATGAAGTAAAAACCACCCACAAGGAAGAAGCAGGATAACTGTTATTACATGAAGGGGATTGCAATTACTGAGATGAAACAAAGTGTATGATTTGTTGAATGTAAAACTGATCATCTCTGTAAAACTTCACTCAATTCATAATAAAAAAGTTCCAGACAAAAGACTATAGTCTTAATTAAGATAGTCTGTATAAGTGAAAGTTAAAGAAATCAGGGTCTTTATTCCAAACTATTGGCTTGTCATTTTAAAGTACTAGAGACAAATGCCTATGTGGTTGCTCTCATCAAAAGAAGCTGCCTTTATATATACTTAGTATTCATGAATTATTATTTATAGAAGATAAAATTTTAATGACTGACCTTTTCAAATCCCAAGTACACTAGAGGTTGATATTTATTGCATCATCATAGCAATCCAGAGATAGTACACATTAAAAATAAGAACTATTCTTTTCAAGATTCTAAAAAGGCATTTCCCCAAATTCAAGACCTGTACTGGCAGTTGAGTCTTTTCCATCACATTTCTGTCTACAGATGATCAGAAGCTAAATGTGAGCTTCCCAAATGGGAGAGAGAGCTGGGACTATTCTGCTATTTGGTGTCTACTACTATCTAGGGAAAAAAGCATGAATTAGATGACTAGAGTTGACATCTAATTAAACTCCGGTGTTGCTTTATTTATGTCTCATTAAATATGGTTTAAATTGCTAAAATGCTGAGGTTAATATCTAGAAATGCTAAGTTTAATATCTTTAAAAAATTTCATGTTGAAGAGAATTGGAAAGTATCAGGCAGATATAAGGAAAAGTACTAAACATAACAAGAAAAGGCAAAATTGCCTGGGCTAATGTATAAGGTGTGCTGGTGTGGTGCTGTAGAATAAGCACTGGATTGCTAACTTCAAGGTTAGTGGTTCAAACACATCAGCTGTTCCTTGGAAACCCTATACAGGGTGGCTATGAGTTGGAAACGACTCAATGGCACTTACAACAACAACAGCAGTGTTTTATATAAACAACTGCAGAGAGAACTGTGATTATAAATGATGGTGTTTAGGAGAAGAAACTCAACTAATTAAACTTGAAACAATTAACTGAAATAATGCATGCAAATTGAGAAAAATAGTAAAATACAAATAAGTAAAAATGATTCATAATTATACTATACAAACATAACCATTGATTGAATGGCTGCAAAGAATTCTATTGTATTATAAGCTATGTTGTTGCTGTTGTTGTTGTTAGGTGCTGTGGAACAGGTTCCAACGACTCTTAGTGCTCTGTATAGGGTTTCCATGGCAGTATATCTTTCTGGAAGCAGAAAGCCTCATCTTCCACCCACTAAGCTTCTGGTGGATTTGAAGTGTCAACCTTGTGGTCTGCAGTCCACTGCTTACCTTACAGAGCCACCATGCTCCCATTACATGGATACAGTTAAAATTTATTAAATAAACTCCTATCATTTAAAGAGTCAGAGTGTTGGGGTTTTTATTTTTTTCATTATTGTGATTACAAATGTTGTTGCTGTTAAATGCCATCAAGTGAGTTCCGACTCATAGTGATCCTGTATTAAGGTTTCCGAGGAGTAGTGGTGAGTTTGAACTGCCAACCTTGTGGTTCAAACTGACCTTTAGGTCTAGTGCTTAGCCTACAGCACCATACAAAGACTCCATTACAAACAGTGTTGTTGTTGTTAAGTGCTGTCGAGTCGACTCCAACTCATAGTAACCCTGTGTAGGGTTGCAAGGAGCTGATGGTTGGTTTGAATTGATGATTTTGTGGTTCGCAGTGCAGTGCTGATCCTACAGCACCACACCAAGAGTCCAATTACAAGCAATATTGGGATGGTACTCCTTATAGTCATATGTTTGCACACATACATAGTGAAGCTATTCTGAGTAGTTTGAAAAATTTGTACGCAGACCATGATTCTTTTTTCATTTTCCACTTCAACCAACCCACCCACCCACAGAAAACAGAATTTATTTTAAGTGGCCTAAATTTTTATCTACCAGTTTTATTAAAATATAACTCTTTTGGAAATGATAGATCAGTACCCTAATGTAATACATAAGCAGAAAAGACAAACTTAAAAATTCTCAGAAGTTCTAGCCTACTGGATAATCCCATGCCACATTTTTAAAATCTTATATTTTATAAGATTTATAATTTTGTGTTTAATTTTTCTATGGAAATTTTGTGAAATACTTAAACTTCATAATGTGCATTTGTTCTCATGCAATAAGATGAAGAGAACCACTAATCTTTAGCAATAACATATCAAAATAATTTTAAAGAAAATCGAATAATTAATGTAAATATCAGTTATTAAAACAAAAATTCAGACCAATATCAATGAGACACATTTTGTAGTATTACTAAAATAGACATGTAAACAGGAATTAGATATTAATTTAAAAAGATATATGAATAAAAATGGAGAACACATTCTCTCTTCAGCATATTGCAAACAGAGTAAAGCCCCAAATTTAGTTGGGCTAATAGCTGGAATGGGTAGTGGAAAAACGTCTAAGTTGTTTTAACTTTCAAAGTAAGATAAATGAAGGTGAAGGGTAATGAAAACAAAAGTGACTAAGAAATATCATGACTGGGGATTCTGTTCTGTTTTTTTGTTTTTTTTGCAATGTCTGTGATTTACACATTTTCTAAAACAATGGAGCTCTTTTTTCCTAAATGAAACCTTACCTGTAAACTTTTTCTATAAAAATAGAGCTTCTCTGGTTAAATACCTTCTCTCTCTCAGCAGGTCTGAATTGCCTCTTCAGAACTGCAGGATGCACTCAACAACTGGAAAGCCATTGCCTGTATTCTATCATACAGTGTCAGTAACTAATTAAACTGCCCCATTTTAATTGCAAGATGAAAGACAGACAAGAAGTACAAGACCAGAAGTCAAGAGACTGGCTTCTAGGTCAGGCTCTGCCACTTATGAACCCTATGTCTTTGAACAGGAAATAAATTTGACAAGGCAAAAAACAAATACAAAACATACCAAAGTTTAGTCAGTTTACCAGAGTGTAGCCAATCGACCACAGAACCATATTTGTTTGAATTTATGCACATGTTTGGAAGCAGCTCATAAACTGCTGCAGTCATAGGTTTAAGTGGAAATAATCAACTTTAATTATCTACCAAACCTAAATTTATTTGTAGTCAAACAGATTAAACCAAAGCACTAGCTCTGCGGTGCTTCTCTTCTATTAATGAAAACTCACCTTAATTTTACAATCCATGGAACAAGACAGCAATAGATGGCCAGAAAGAGGAAACAATCTGACTGCACTGACGCCCTATGAAAAGGTATTACAGTTATCAATAAGAAATGTTCCATTTAATAGCTAAAATTAAACACAAGAAAAAGATTGCACATTTTTAAGCAATCCACGTTACTATTTTTCTTAATTCCAAAAATCATGCCCTAGGATAAGCATCATTAGTATTCCAAGAGCAGCCCTTCTTGACACTAAGCTTTTGAAGATTTCTTTTTAACCTTTAATATTGACCTCCCCACTCAAGGGAATCCTAAATCAATCATGTTGCTAAGGCCCTTACTCCTCTTCACTCCTTTATAGCCTCTCCAACAGATTTGATCTCTCTTTGCAAAGAACTGAAAACTGCCAGGTGGAACAGTACAAAAGACAATGAATTTCAACACCAGAAGTTTTTAACTATCTTGTTTCTGCATTAGTTTAAATATTGCCATAGTCTATAAACCAGGGCGTATATGGCACAGTTACTAAGGCTAAAGCAAGGAGGTTTGGTTCTATTATCAGCTCATTTCTCACTGACTTGACGCCCAAAAGGAAGGAAATTGTGGCAGGGACTTGTGAGAAACGGTCTGGCTGCAATAAAAGAACATGGCCCTGACCCATGAAAGCCTCCGCTCTTGCCAACCCAAATGGCCTTGAAGACTGACTAGTCACACTGCCTGATACTGTGGGTACCAGTGAGCCAAACTCTGGTTTATCTTCAATTTGATTTCCCTGTTCTGACATCTTCACCAGAAATATTGATTGTTCCATATTCATACCTGAAACTTTATGGTTTCACTACTATTATTACATTACAACAAAGAAAAACAACTAATTTGTCTACCTTTGTGTGTCCTGACCACACGTGAATTTGCTTCTTTGGAAGGTAACACTTCTCAGGTGGCACAGTTGACCGGAGATTAACACCAACATCTTGAGGTATGTGAAGATAGGACCTGCCCTGATAGTCATACATTTCTTTAACTGAAAGACAACAGACAAAATAAATCAACAGACAAATACACGAAATCCATATGCTTAAAATACTAAGAAAAATTTTATTCCTAGGGATTTCATTCCATTATAAGGTTTTGGATAATATTCTGATGATGTTAAGACCAAAAGTCAGCCACAGTTTAGCTGCCAGAAATCATTTCTCTCTTTACAATAAGTGTATTGGAATTCTTAAATACTCAGGCAATATTAGAACCTTTAAATCAGTTGCATTTCTTTTACTCAGCTTTGTATTTTAGAGATCTATAAGAAAGATGTGACTGAAGTATAATTACAGACAAAGAAGACTCAAACCTGGGCCTTGTGTATTGCTCACAAAGAATCAGAAACAAAACAGGATATGGGAGAAATTAAAATAGACTCCCAAAAACTCAATTATTCCTTTTTCCTGCTTTCCTCTTACACTCTGCCACATTCCTTTTTCATTAGTCTTCTCCTACTTTCACATATATTCTATAATAAAAGTAACTTGTGAGAATTAAGTGACCAAGTTTATAGATAGCATTAAGCAGTATGTCTGGCACAAAGTACTCAATAAATGATGATTGTTAATGTTATAGTTTCAGGTACCACAGTACTAAACAGACTCTTTAAATATAAAATTGGGCTCAAGAATCCAAATATAGCCTCATTAAACTTAAATATTTGATATGTGATACAACATTAGAATAATCAATACTATCAGTACTAAATTATTCTTTTTCTGGGGGGGAAGTAATAACAATAAATGATTCTTTACTGTATAAGATGATCATTATATATTTACTAAATATAATTATTTAAAAATAAGACATTCTAGAATATTTATAATTTATTTTGATAAATATGTACTTCTTTACACAAATGAAAGCAATTATGAAAGTATTAATCACCAATCTATTCACATGAGAAAAAAGTAGTCTTTTAAAGTATAATTTAGTAAGTTATTTAACTTTATATATTAAATATATAAAGAATATTTGGCTTGGGTTTCAAATAAGTTTAAAATGACTGTTATGGGCAGCACATTTGGCTCAAAAGGGTCAACTTCCTTAGGAAAACCAGTCTGAGCGCCCAGTCTTGATTTCTTCTTTACCATTCTTTTCTTCTATACCTAAAATAATTTTCTGTAATTTATTTGGGATGCAAATTATCCACATAATTATTCTTAATATAATGATTTCATAGCAGCTAAGAGTAAAGGCAATTGGTATTATGTGGAGAAAAAGAGTATCTTAAAATGTACCATAAAAATAACTAAGTACTAAAAATATTCTACCATGTAAGATTGTCTTTTCCTCCCCAGGCTTTTCATCTTCCTGTTTGCCTTTCTTCTGCCTCTTGGCTGTGATTTCATCCAATTCTTTTTGTTCTTCCTAAGGAAATTGAGTGAACTTTAAAAAGAAATGTTCTAAAACCCCACTGTATACAAAGTTAATTAAAAATTACCAATAGTGGAATCTTTTTTTTCGGTGAAGCAGTAGCTATTAGGATAACATTCTCAACTTTTCCATAAGCAGAGGCCAAAAGATTGCCGCTTTCATAGATTACAAAATAGCATTTATCATATAATAAGTATGAGACAATACTTTTAGAATGATTTTATACAAAACCCATCTCCTTTCAAGAATACTGAGAAAAATATTACCATATTATGCTAACTATGGGAGTGCAGTGGCTCCACATGATAAGCACTGGACTGCAAACAAGGTTAGTGGTTCAATCCTACCAGTCACTCTGTGGGAGAAAGATGAGGCTTTCAGCTCCTGCAACGATTTAAAGTCTCAGAAGCCCTATACAGAGTCACTATAAGTTGGAACCAAGTGGTACTTAACAACAAATGCTAATTATGCAAGTGAAAAAAACAAATCAATTAGAAAAGCTAGTACTAGAAAGGAAACAATTTTAATACAATTTGATTCTTCAGTAAACACCTTTTACATATAGTTATAATGATACCAGCAATGACTATATATTTGTTGGAGTCCTTGTGTGGCACTGTGGGTTAACACACTAGATAGCAAAATCGGTTTGAACTGCAAGGTAGGCAGTTCAAGCTCACCAGCTGCTCCTAGGAAACACTATACAGGGTCGCTATGGGTCAGAACTGACTCAACGACACTTAACAACAACAATATACTTGTTACTCAACTTTTTTTGGGAAGAATTGGGGAGGGAATGTAGGGTGGTAATAAATATTGATAACAACAAAGAAGTCAACAGAGTCTAAATAGACAAAGAGCAGTACAGGTAATGTATATGTTGCTGTTAAGTCGGTTCCGACCCATAATGATCCTGTATAAGGTTTCCAAGGAGCGGCTAGTGATTCTAAACTACCAACTTTGTGGTTCAAACCTACCTTGTGGTCTAGAGCTTACCCTACTGTTCCACACCAGGACTCCATAATATATATACATATTGTTAAATGCCGTCAAGTTGGTTCCAACCCGTAGCGACCCTGTATAGGGTTTCCAAGGAGCAGCTGGTGAGCTTGAACCAGCAACATCGTGGTTCAAACCGACTTTGCCGTTCAGTGCCACACCAGGATTCCAAATATACATAGATACAAAAGCCAGATATATGGACATAATGATATCTCAGCTAGAATGTAAGCTTCACATGGGTAGGCTTTTCTTGATCTTGTCCAATGCTGTTTCCCTAAGGCCTAGAAGTGCCTGGCTAGTGGGATTAGGAGGTAAGAATGGATACAGGAGGAGTCTACTTTATAATGCAGTAGGCTGTTCTTTGAAACTTCCCTGGACTATTTGTAGAAAAACAACATGGAAATATTACTTTGTCAAAAATTAAAAATAAACTAGCAAATAACATTACAAAGAAAAACACTCAAAAATAAAATTACTATACTTTCTTAATCAACCAAGGCAGAAAATTCTGATCTGCCATTTGGCTCCCTAAGGAAATCTCAATCACGTAAATAAAGATATCCTTCACAGAGACCCTGTAGAATACCTGAAACAACAATGAGAAACATTAAAGCTTACTTCTGAAGGTTTGGCTACATCTTTTTCATCCACATATTTTGCCCAGGGTCCCAGAAAACCATCAATATTAGATGCATCATTTTCTTTGAACTTTTTCCTCTTCTCTGTTTTCTTCTGACCAGTTTCAAATACAGTTAAACCTACATTAAAATAAAATAAAGTACAAATGTGGATATTTTCTAAAGAAATACCAGTATATAGGAATTTATTTTATATGGCTAAAGAAAGGTGATTATTAAAGTGAACCAAGATTTATTTAAAAACACAAAATAAGATCTCTGTCAATCTGCCAGTTACAGCAACTAATGCTACATTAACAGGGATTCTACCTTTTGGGCAAAGAATTCTATTACTGCAATAGTTAGTAAGTTCTAATATATTTAATGGTTGTTGTTGTTAAGTGTCGTCGTGTTAGTTCCAACTCATAGCGACCCTGTACAGGGTTTCCAAGGCTGTAAATATTTATGGGAGCAGAAAGCCTCATCTTTCTCCCGCGGAGCAGCTGGTAGTTTTGAACTGCTGACCTTACGGTTCACAGCCTGATTCGTAACCACTACGCTACCAGTTGCTGTTGTTGTTGTTGTTATGTGCCGTGAAGTCAGTTCCGACTCATAGCGACCCTGTACAGGGTTTCCAAGGCTATAAATCTTTATGGGAGCAGAAAGCCTTATCTTACTCCCGCGGAGCAGCTGGTAGTTTTGAACTGCTGACCTTAAGGTTCACAGCCCGATTCGTAACCACTACGCTACCAGTTGTTGTTGTTGTTGTTATGTGCTATGGAGTCGGTGCCGACTCATAGCGACCCTGTACAGGGTTTCCAAGGTTGTAAATCTTTATGGGAGCAGAAAGCCTTATCTTTCTCCCGCGGAACAGCTGGTAGTTTCGAACTGCTGACCTTGCGGTTCGCAGCCCGATTCGTAACCATTACACTACCAGAGCTCCTTATATTTAATGGTAGCCTAAGCTTAATAAAGGAGTCCTGGTGTGGTGCTGTGGGTTAATGCATCAGACTGCAAAGCCATTTGAACTGCAAGGTTGGCGGTTCAAGCTCACCAGCTGCTCCTTGGAAACCCTATACAGGGTCGTTATGGGTTGGAATCGACTCGACGGCGCTTAACAACAAGAAGACAGGGTAGAACTGCTCCTTAGGCTTCTGTAGCCTTTAAATCTTCATGGGAACAGACAGTCTCATCTTTCTACTGTGGAGTAGCTAGTGGCTTTGAATCATAGACTTTGCAGTTAGCAGCTCAACACTTAATACACCACACCACCAGGGCTCTTCCATAACATTCAATACTGCCAAATAGCAATGAAGTTAACTTTAAAGCAAGACTAGATTATAATTTATCATTTTAAAACTGAATTTTGTTAAATTACATTAAGTACTTAATAATTTATCGTTACTTCCCTTTACTACAACAATATGAATTAAATAAGGTTACATAGTAAGAATCTGTGGAGTAAGCACTGGACTGCTTGAACTGCAAGGTCTGCAGTTCAAACTTAGCAGCTGTTCCTGGGATACCCTGTATGGGATCACTATGAGTCGGAACCAACTTGATGGCCCTTCACAACAACAACGATATGAAGCTGGTAATTTTTCAAAATGATCTCAATCTAGATTTCATCTCTAAGTATCATAAATCTTAAGAGTAAATAGAAAAGAGAAAAAAAGTGATGTTTCTGGTTAAGACTGTCTTGATCCGTAGAAAGTGGCATCTGTACAGATGATTAAATGGTAAAGAAAGGGGTATGGAAATCATGGTCACAAGCTAATGGTGAACTGGAAAATTTAGCTACATATATGAGCAGCTTCAGAAAGTTTGGGGAAATTTCCCAGTATCTTTGACTTCTATTTTTCCAAGAACATTTTGTGGCCTTCTTGTAGATCTGGGTTGAAGTGTAACCTAAATAAAAAAATAAGCCTATGTATGTGGCGTTGTTAAGATAAGCACTTGACCATAAGGTTCGTTTGAACCATGAGGTCAGCGGTTCAAACTCACCAGCTGCTCTTTGGAAACCCTATACAGGGGTCGTAACAAGTCAGACTGACTTGACAGCACTTAACAACAACAACATTAATTCCAAGGAGTCCTGGTGGCTCAGTGGATTATGCATTGGCAGTTCAATCCCACTAGTCACGCTGCAGGACAAAGATAAAGCTATACGCTCCCATAAAAATTTACAGTCTCAGAAACCCTGTCTAGGTTAGCTAAACCCTGTATAGGAATCGACTTGATGGCAGTGGGATGGGATATTAATCCAAATCAATTCCCTTTAGACAGTGTTACAGCAAAAGTTGTATTAACATCCCAGTTAAACAATACTCTGAACCATAGTAATGCAGTGGTTAAAGCACTTGGCTATTAACCCAACAGTTGATGGTTCGAACCCAACAGTTGCTCTGCAGGAGAGATGTGGCAGTTCTACTCTATCCTATAGGGTTGCTTTGAGTTGCAATCGAGTGGATGGCAATTTGAACCATAGCCTTTTTCAAACACAGAAGGCAAATTGATCATGTAGGATCAGCAGTTACCAAGCAGAGGGTACCTTATACTATCAGGACATTCATCTTTTAATGACCATTCTTACAAATCATATCCCAATGGCCTGATCAGCTTGGTGATAAATGCTTTGTCTTAATAGGTACAAAATTAATCTCACAGAAACAAGTATTTTAAAACAAAATATATTCACAGTTTTCAAAACTGCTCAACCTTCAAAGCAATCCTTTAAAGACAATCTCCAGACATGACAATGAAATTCTTGTTAAAACTGTAATTTGACATTAGTATTGAGATGTAAACTGTCAAAATTAGCTGAGCTATGAACTCAAAATAACCCAGAGAGATAGGTGCCACCATCCTTCGTACAAGGTTGCACAGCTAATAACTAGCAAAAGCAAAGTCTGAACAATAAGCGCACTAAACTGTGTCACCTTTAAACTAGTTTATTGTCTTAAGTCTAAAATATAATCAAGAGTTAAACAGAATTAGATGAGTTTTTTTCTACTCGGTCTAATAAAGGCATTATGCAAGATAGCAATTACAAATACATGTGAAGGTTAGCAAAAAAAAAGTACTACTGTAAAATCATAGAAACCTTTTAAATCAAAAACATCAAAATGTGAAGCTATTGTTTCTCAGCATATCATCCATCTAGGTCTACAAACTTGAGAAGGTGGTGCTTCCATCTTTCTAACTTTTATCTGAAGAATTGGGTGCTATTCAATTTAATGCATGTCAAAATAGCAGTTTGGGCATTCTTGAGGTGTTGCAGACCATGTAAGACTAATCAGAGGTTCGAGGCCCGCTAGGGCCGAGTGTAACAAATGAGGCCACTGGCAGTTAATGGCAAATTGCTTTCATATTAATATTCAGGTATATATATTAAATTAATACACTGGAGCCTTTGACAATCCACAGATAAATGTGGTATTTTCCTAAAGCCG